CAGGCGACGCCCATTTCACTGTCTTCATTCGACAAGTCTGAGCATCGGAATTGGTGGATTAGTCGTTAAATGGCTGCCAACTTTTCCAGAATGGAAGTAATCATGCTTCTACAGCCAAAATTACGAAAAGTCACCTCATATAGCGATAGGCAATCTTCTTGATTTTACTTCGCAATTTAGCTGGCAGTTCCAAATGTGATTTTTGTGATATCTTCATTTGTCAAAAACGTGTAGGGCATTCAGGAGTAAATCAACTGGGCGGCGCCTTTGTGAATGGCCGACCTTTGCCAGATGCGGTGCGACGTAAGATAGTGGAGATGGCACAGGCAGGGGCTCGACCATGTGACATCTCGCGTATGCTTCAGGTCTCCAATGGATGTGTGTCGAAGATCCTCTGCCGCTTTTATGAGACTGGTTCCATTCGACCCAAAGCTATCGGAGGTAGTAAGCCACGGGTTGCCACCGACGCAGTAGTTGGCAAAATCGCCGAATTGAAGCGAGAATGCCCCTCCATATTTGCGTGGGAGATTCGCGATCGACTCATTCGGTCTGGTGTCTGTGCACACAACAATGTTCCCAGTGTGAGTGACAATTCCTTTCAAAATACCAAATTCACGAATATGGAATCGTACATTCACCTGAACATGAAATGCTTAGTGACAAAATTGAGTATCAGTTCTAATGTGTCTAGAAAAGGCATGCGCATGCCAACTACGCCCCATGATAAATGATGACCCAATGACATGACCGAATTGAAGGAATAATTGAAGTTACTTCACTGGTGGTCCTAAATGACAATTAGAGTAGGCAGTTGTCATCGGATCATCGGAATTCTACACTTTCAACCAGTACTTGCACAGTAAGTTTCGCACTCAATTTGCTGCAAATGTTACATTTTCTCTATCGGTCTAGAGAGTTGTGGATGAATGCTTCATTTGGGTGTTGCAGTAAAATACAAACCTACAATGATTCAGGGACAAAATAACCGCATATACAATCTCGGATTTGAGGCAAATCAGGCTCATTTTTACTGTCTGACACAAATTTCACAAAAACTGCCAAAAAATCTTTAAGCGATCTTCATTTTGAGGCAAATTTCAAATTTAAAGCTGATTCTTATGTTAATTCCTAAATTATTAAACACATTTGAGACTGAAGTGTACTGGGCGAGACTCGTGCGAATCTACTGTTGACATGCATGGGCTGACCCAACGCAATGGCCTTCACCGGCTACTTATCTGCTTCAAGTGTCTTCCCAAGCCTCAGAAGGAATGTGGAAAATTGCGGTGGATGTAAAGAGTTGTAGTGAGGAAAGAAACGGAAACAATCTAAGTGTAACTCTCGTATACACAAATTCACTCATTCGTGACTTATAATGCTTGCTTTGGGCAGAGAGGATAAAAAATGACCCAAACACAAACTTCCGATGATCACCTCGCGTATGCAGTTTCTTTGAGTGCGGCAGAGAAAAGGTGCACTGGAGGCAGCCCTAATTGGTTCCTCCAAGCAGTTGGGATAGGCGCTCTTGTGGGTGAAATCATGCGGAAAAAGACAGCGTGCCACTCAAGTGACAAAGGAGCCAATGAGGAAGAAAATACGCCATGAAAATTTTGTTTCCTGTTGGTTGTAGTGTTGTTTTTTTTGCTCCAGCGGATGTGCCATCCACCACACACATGCGGAAGTCCGTCTGTTTAAAATGGCTTCCAAAAAATTCTTAAGCACCTTGCATTTTGTCAAAAAAGAAACCATGCGTCAGAAAATTTTTACATTATTATAACGTCTTCTTAACTCATCTCGTATCCCTTCAGGAACTGTAATTCGTTAATCTCTAAGTGCTGCTTGAACTAAACTATCACGTTAAAGGCAAAGAATTGGTTAACTAAGAGGTTACGAGCAACTTTTTTATTGGAGATAATTGTGATTCGCAACAACGTATTTCTTAAACTCTATGCTAAGTACTTATTCAACAAATATAGAGCCTGAATAAGCAAACCAACAATAGATTCTTGAAAGAATTAGTCTAATTCATTTATGTCTAGTTCGAAATCAACGCAGACCACTTGGTGGGTTTAAATGGGAAGGCTTCATTTTCCTCCTTTTAGGTGTCGTCCATAAATCGAGTTCTTCGTGGTCTCTTCAGCGAGGCGCAGCGACGATTAAAGGAGTCTGCACTGCTGCCTTCGGACCCAAGTCATCCCTACACGATGCCACCTAACCTACGACTGCCAGTAGGCGAAACTTTTGGCCACTTCGGGACTCTTTACGCCTCCTCCTCGACTGTTGCCCCCCTCTCATCAAGCGAACACCAAACAACTCCAACTACACCGACGCCTCCAGCGATGCATAGTCGAGTGAACCATTTTTTGCAGCCTACTGTCACTTGGCCTTCATGGTGCTCTGCAGATAGCCCTACTGCTCTCGATAAACCTCACTTTTACTACCACTCGCATAGAAGCGTCAACTGCGCTACTGTTGATTCCAATACTTACACACAGCTACTAACAGTTTCGAATCCTCCTCAAGTCCCGCCAGAGGTATCAGTGACGCTAGGAAAGGCGGTTGCTTGTAATGCTTCTCGTGAATGCCCTCCCATCATCACACAGTGCCAAGGTGAGAGCGTCTTTCGTATGCACCGACCGATAGATGCGATTCAAAGCTACGTAAACAGTGCCTGAAAATCATTTGCAATTTGTATTGTAGGAAGAGAGTCTGCATGTCAAACAGGTACCGATTCGAGCTATCATAACGAAGTGATGATTCGACGTTTACTCGATTGAACATTTTTGTGGCGATGCGCTGTCACATTCCATGATAAGTGGCATATGATTTCTCAATCACCTTATTTCACGTAAATAACTACATTCAATGTAAAATGATAAAACCATGTGTCAATTTACCACAAAGCCCCAACATACTGTAAGTGTATTACAGATGGAGTCATAAAGGCCAAAAATCGTGGAAGAACGAGATCACTAGCATGGCCTCGGATGTCATATAGCGGAAGTGGAGATCAGAATGAGGAGAGGGCTTGAATTCTCGTTTCGTCAAAGATTATATAGGGTCTGCGAGGAACAATGACCTTCAAGACGTTTCATCCCGCGTTAAACTTAGTCCAGGTGTGGAATTATGCAGCAGTTTCGATGTTTATTTTAATAAGGGGGACATTTTCGCATAATTTTAGGTACAGAAATCCAAACAGGAGCACAGCACTACCCCTCAACAGTGGTCACGTCAGGTACACCATCTTGTTTTGTCACCTCATCACCTCCAGACGTTTGGACTCCTCCAGTCTCTTCTTTTGGTGCCTTGGATTGGACTGGTCTGACACCTTGCCTCAAGCGATCTACAGCTGACAGCATTGATAGCTTTAGCAGTGAGCCAGCTTCTCCTGTGACATCTGAGGGGACTGAAAGGAAACTCCAGGTGCGCTCTCGCACCGCATTTACGCAAAAGCAAGTTGCCATGCTGGAACGAGGTAAGAAAGTGTCGAGTCAGTAAACTCACAGAAAATTTTGCTTGATTAAAAACGGAAAATGATGGAGAATGGAATTGCTTCCCATATTAGGTGTTCGCCTAAAAGTCTATATTCAAGGGCGCGCTTAACTCCAATCCCTTAGATGATTTCGTCCCCTTTTGGCCCTGTCACTCATCCCCTCCTGGAATTCTCCCCTCCCTTTGGCCGGGCTACAAATTCGGGTCCCATTCTACCGTCACAACACCAATAAGTTCAGATATACACCGTCCCAGGTCAATGAATCGAGAATAAGGCAGTAGATCAGAGGATTCTAGCGATGCAAATCACCAAATGGGCCTATAATTGGATGATGATGATGCGAAAGAATGAAAATCAAAATCCTTAAACCAACTAGTTAAACGAAGCAGTCTTAAGCAGCGTTATTAGCTCGGACAGCTTTGTATACCAAAGTACAACTTCAAAAAATGCTGATCAACGATTGAATTAGAGCTTCTAATGCATTTGAGAAGCCAATCTTGGTCAGTTAAAATGGATGTGAATCAGCAGTTTCTCTTTTTCAAACCAAGAGTTTGAGCAAAGCCACTACCCAGAATACTCTACGCGGGAGAGACTGTCAGAGGAGACAGGTCTGCCGGAATCAAGGATCCAGGTGTGGTTTGCGAACCGACGCGCAAAGTATCGCAAGAGCTCGAGAACTACGGTGGTGGTGGCCATGGAGGGAGCAGTTACGCCGCCTCTGCTACCGAGCAGGGTAGAGACTGCTCACTTCAAGGCATTGACGTCAACGGACGCACCAAAGGCAGAGGCAAGTCATTATGAGGTGGACGACTCGCGTCAGTCCAAGGCTTGGTGCTACCACCCCTATGACGCCTGGCTGGATCGCTCCAACCATCCATGGTTCTACGATAGCTCGGCTGCTGCTGCTGCTGCTGCTACCGTCTTTTACAACTCCTCGGTAGGTTGGCTAGGACATTAGTATGAGATTTCTAAATATTACCTCACAGAATTGAATTTGACTATCGCTATTTTCAAACGACGTGCATCTAAAGATTATCGTTTACCTAATTGTATTGAGCACTTTTATAAATTAGTGAACCGATTGTCAAGTGAAATGTCAGTGAGAAGAGATCACTGAAGAATATCACTTTACTTTTCTTAAGGAAAATCTCTACTATCACATTGTCACAGCGAAAATATGCGCCCTAAAAGACAGATGAGGAAAAATAATAAGGACTGTATTAGTAGCTCAGATGAGGCGGATGATGTTGTAAAGGGCAATGCAGGGCTAAGTGCAACTATATCTATAAATAAAGTGAACAAACTTTTTAATGCCGGTAAAACGCACCAATTTACGGGTGCTAAACCCAGTCTAAACTTTACAGGTTAGGAGCCCCACAAGCCTAATGCCGCCGTTTCACTCTACCAATGATGAGATGGGTCAGATTCAAGTGTCATCACAACAGCCGCCTCCAAATGATCGGCCGCCTCTAAGCGATAGCACTAGCACGGAGAGCGAATGTCTCGGAAGCGGTGGCGAGATAACTGATTGCTCAGCACCATTCCCCATGTCCACATGCACAGACTCCACTGTCTACTTTCAAAATTCTCAATCGAAAGTGAACTCGAGCTACACTTCTGCACATCTTAAAAATTCCAACCACAGTCTTCCACGGCATCATTTTATGTAAAACCATCTTTATTCCACCCTCAAACTGCACTTATATGTATTGATTGAATAAATTTTGGGGTATCTAACAACTACTTATGCTTTATTTGCCCGTCGCGTCCACAAACCAATTATCTAACTTAATTCAAACGAATATAGCAGAAGAATACTTCATAACATCCCATTATTATCCATTCGTGTCCGTTGCAAAGTCGACAACACTAGAGAACATTGACACAATCACCAAACAAGGTACAGAGCGGCTCGAACTATGCTATCACAAAGACCTCTCAATACAGCTATTGCCGCAAAAGTAAGAATTAAGGAGTTTAGAAACTCAAAAAATGTTTGGCAAGTTCAAAAGCCACCGAGTGTTACTGAAGTAAAGCTTGAAAACGCAAAAGTGGAGAAGAGCCTCTATTTAATCGGAACAAGATAACAGGCAAGTGATCCAATTCAGTCAGATATTATCAAGAAATTCATTTGAAAACATGAAAGTGCCGCTCAGCCTCATCGACTAAGGGATCCTGTGAAGTTCGCCAAAATATTTTTACGGTTTTTCCAACAATCTCCGCCTAAGAGATAGTTGTGAACGCTCTCATTTACCGAATGGGAACTGGAAAGCCTTGGTTGAACTGCCTTTTTCAGTGTCTGGATTTAATGAATTGATAGGAACAAATCGAAAGGGGGAGCCGCGGTCCGGTATAAGTGGCTGGCCAAATATTTGCCCATCCTGATGCACCCGCATAGTGCTTCTCAGTGGACTGTAATCAGAGAGTGAATCTGGTGATGCATGCATTTCTCGATGAGTTCTTTTCAAGTCTGACTTCCAGGAACTTTTAGCTATGTTATTTGGATGAGCGAACGATCTATTCATAAGTTGGGCCTCATTCGACGTAGAATTATTGGCATTCCGAGCTGAGATTCTCAATTTCTGACACTCGCGCTCCAAGTGGGATAGCTTTTGATCAGATGCAATGAGCTTAGATCGAAGCTCCTCGCATTCCTGTGTCAACTAAAAACATGTGAACATGAGAATATGCATACAGCTTTCTTCATGTGTTCATATACAGAATTCTCCTCCTTCATCTTCAACATTAAAGACTTAAGCTCCTTTTCAATCGATCTTGTTTTTTCTATCGACTTTGCAGCAACGTACTCCAAAAATTGAGATCCGAGCGACTGTTGTAACACGAAAAAAGTGATCGCCCTTTTGGTTATATCTAGTATAATGTCTGGGGATTGTCCAGCAAGAATAAGGGATTTAAAACGATCAGATGGTTGTAAATCGACCTATTTATTAAAAAACAAAACGAAAAGACTCATTTACCTCAATGAAGTCATTAGCGTTTCGATCAAGAGAAGAATTACACGCAGGGCAATTAGTTCTGTGCTGACCAGCCTCTAGGCTAGGTCCATGAGAAAGACAAAATATGTGCTGGCAAATCGTAACTATAGCTGTTTCGACTAGTGGTTGCCTACACTTCCGATAATTACAAGCCAATTCAATCCCACGCGATATCATAACACCAGATTTTAATTGTGGCGCACTTATATCATGTAGTGCTGCTGTTAGTTTGAAGCACAAAAGGGTGCTGCGAAGCAGAATAACTGCGCGAGTTATACTTTTAAGATTGAATATTTAAAATGCAGTCACTATTTGAAAGATCTTGATCGAAAAGAATTTTACAAGTTCACAAAGTGTTTGAACTGCTTAATACAATTAGCCCCTTTTTCTTGAACACGAACTTATCCCTATATTTTTATATGTTAGCGATGAACCAAAAGAAACAGCACCG